TCAACAGGGAGGTGCTATAGGACATGGCCACAGTGAGGGAATCATTGTCAAATTATCAGTGGGGCTTTCAATCTGGATAATTCTCTCTGGATTCAATATGCCAAATAAGTGTGCTTTCTTTGAGGACCTGTGTATTGTTTAAATATTACAACATTATAAACATCATACCACAGCTGATTTCTCTCTTTATACTAGCGTATAAAAGTCCAATATCAAATCTGTGCACTGCCTCTAGCTAGCAAGTATATGAGACACACTGGAACCCAAGAAGTTTGGGTAATTCACTGCTTGTCCATTGGTTTTTCTTAATTTTCCTTTTTGTTTTTCCCAACTACTAATTTTATGTGCTCCTTCAAAATATCTTTAGATGAATATAGAATGAATAACCCAAATGGTTATTCCAGAAGGTAAGGAGTATCTTCAGTTAACTTAGCCCAGGTAAAAGGAAATGACACAATGACACCCTAAGCTTATGGAGGCAGGAAGACTATTAGGGCACAGAGGTCCTAATAGTCAGCTCAGGATGTGACTACTACCCCAATTAAAGTGGGTGCTAAGGACTATGGGCAAGGGGTTGGGGCTAGACAAACTCATGGGCACAAACTGACTGCAACATATCATTGAATATTTTAGCCCCACGATGTATTCCCATTGATTTTTATATTCCATGTGATTCTACCATTCATTTTCTTTTCATGTTCTCAATAAAAGTTCCTGGTTTCATGAAAATTGATGGCTTGTTTGATAAGGCAGAGATTGTGCCTTCTAATAATTGGTTTCTCTCACCACCATAGCTACCTAGCTGGTGTCTGAGATACACTGGGTGATGTGTAAGGATTCATTCTCCCAACCCCACATCAGGACCCTACCAGTCTTCCTCCACAAAGATCTTAGTCTTCATCAGTCTCAGCATCTGGTGTAATCCATGCAGGATCTTAGATTTTATTAAATGAAGGTAATTCCAATTTGCTTTCTATGCTGCACTTTCTCTAATACTTCTTGCTTCTGGGAGGCCCCAAGATTCATATCCAAGTTCTGTTGGGACTTTTCCTTCTAGTGAATCTTTCACGTAAAAAACAACCAATCTCATTTCTCTAGATTATTTCTGACTATTAACATGTTGTTGGAAAAGAAGAGTAAGGATTTTAAGAGTGTTTCTGTGTTTACATAAAGAAAAGGGAATAATAAAGGTATAAAAATTTTGAGTATGATATGAACAAAACATTCTTGAATGTCATAAAAGGGAGGGTAGGGCAAAGAGAACCTTGAATCCATTCCATTGTTCTCTGCACTAAATAACAATTGATGGTATTGAATGAGGACAACTTATTTTGCCTTGGAAATTGATGAGGGTTGTTTGGTGCAAAAGTGTGTGGGATTGGGCCTCCCTGGTGGCACAAGGGGTTAAGCACCGCACTATGAGGCAATCTGCACCCTCTGCAGCATGAGTTAGATCCCCAGCCGGCCAGGGAGCGGCCCACATGGTACAGCAGACCTCTCCTGTCTCGCCTGCTGCTCCTCTCAGCAGTGTATTTCAGTCAGTCTGCCTGTTCTATTCCCTGCTCTGTCTCTGGTGAGTACTCTCACCACCCACACCTCTGGACTATACTCCATCTCTTGTATGTATAAATAAATAAATCTCTAAAAAAAAAAAAAAAAAGAAGTGTGTGGGGCAATTAAGGGAGAAGGCACTATGAAACTTACATGGAAGGTAAGCTTGACCTTTGTAATTCATGGAACTTCTGATCTGGTTAGAGATAACAGCCTGCATTTATAATCCAATTAGAGAATTCAACTACGTGATAATTATTAAATTATGTAATAACCGAAGTGCAATACATCCACAGTTTTCAATTCAACCTATCCCCAGAAGACTTTCTTGGGGAGCATTTAGTTTTGCGTTAGGGATGCCTTCTTAATGCTCACCTATGTGGTGATTGGCGTTTCATGGATTTCTTGATTTTTGCAATCATAAGCATGTTTTATTATGAGATCTTCTTTTCATGCCTTTCGGTATTTTCTGAAATTATGTGTCTCTTATCTTCTAAGGAGTTTTAAAGTCACATATCTCTTAGGTTTCTTCAGCTTTGGTGTTGAATGGCTATATCCATTAGACATAGGGTCTAGTCTGGGTAATACTAGGTAATAAGCATTAATTTTTATAGTTGCAGCAATTTATAAAATTCAGATGAATTTCAACATGGCGATTCAAGTGATTCAGGAACACTTAAAATTCTAGTTTCTTTTAGGTAAATACTTAATCCTTTAGGATGGACCCTGTTACTTTATCTCCCCAGGACTAAGGAAAGAGATGGAAAAGGGACTGGTGTGAATCTTGTCTTCTGTCTTTGCTGGCCTCTGCTGAGGCTGAGCTGGTCTGCATGGTCTCTGGAATCTGCCTCTATTCCCACTGTGTCCACTGATGAAGCATGCCCCGCATGGCTGGTTTTTGCTCAAATCCTTGACTCTGCATTTCCTTTGCTAACAACGCAAGGCCCAACTGGGCCCCTTCCCCCTCATCTGCTTTTATTTGAAACCATTTTTATGAGTAGTAAATACTTGCCAATGATGAAATATCATAACATTTAAAATAATCAATTAAATGCTTATATTATCATGGACTAAAATCCCTAAATATTAGAAAAGAAGTTAAAATAGAGTTTTTAGTTTATGATAGCAAACTTATCTTTCTTTCATAACATTCAGACTGCTATGACAAATGCAGTATAAATGTTGACACTTTATTCCCAACATGGACTGTTGAAACTAATCTCACTTGTTAAGTATTGCCATGTCAGGTTTATACATAGAAAAAAATTAATGACTAATTGATATACATATATGTATTATATATGTATATGTATATGCATATGTAAGTACACCACATATATAATTTTTGAAAACTGAAAGTTATTTTTACAAATTAGAAACAGTTGGTATTTCAATCTCTCCAGCCATATTTCATCTCAGAGTAGTGATTATGGTCATGGGTGCTGAAGTCTAACTTCTGAGGCTAAAATCATTCATTAGTTGAGTGATTTTGAGCCATGTGTGAACTTTTTTGTGCAGCAGTAACCCCATGAGATGGGAGTAATAACTTCTCCCATGTCCATGGACTGGTTTTGGGGATAAGTGGACTATACTGGTACAAATTAAGTGTGAGTTTTTATTATTATTACTAGTATATCCAAGGTCCCATGCTTGGGGCTTTGAGATAAAAATAAAAAGACACAATCTCAACCCTTATATAGTTTGCTATCTAACTGGAAAGCAAAACTACAGTCTCACAGAAAGTTACATATTAATACCTGAGAAGAAAACTGACAGTTCAGTTCAGCAGCACAGACCACCCTCTTAAATACAGAAGCCATGGGGGTTCGGTGACCAGAAGTAGATGATGACCTTTATATAAGATGTGATCACACATTGTTTCCCTTCACCTGATACTTATCTCTTTGCCATGATGAAAAAAGGCTCAAGGCAGATTGTATAATAAACACTATTTGCAGTGGCCCAGGCTAGTTAATCCTGCAGAGGCTTAGCCATGGGTGAACATTAAATGACGCACATGCTGATGCTGGATTAAGGCTCTTGACAACTGTGAGTGCTCTGAGAAGTGGGCCAACCTGCTTCTCAGTGGGGTGTAAAAAGAGATGGAAACTGCTTCAGGTGATTTAAAATTTTCTGAGATTTACAGAGAGTTCCAGACTGTGGTTACCCAGCATAAAGGGTAGTTCTGTGAAAAAAAAAAAAAAAAAAAATAGCACAAGACTGCATGTTCAGTTGCCAAATGAATATTACAGTTAATGGTTCCGCTATCAGATCAAGGATGATCATGAAAGGCCTTGAGAAGCAGAGATTATGAAATGACCTTCATTTTCCCTTTCGAGTCAAATATTAATTCCCCGAACTTAATTTTTTAATTTATCACTGTAGATTTTCACCCACAGACTATCCCTGAACACTAGGGATTTTGGGGGCTAAATGATTAATTTAGTAGGTTTGTTTCCATCTATTGATTTGAGTATATAAACTTCATCTAACATTGCTTTCTCTAAGGAAGAAACAGTTATTCTGAATTGCAGGCAATCAATTTATAAATGCACTTTTAAACACTCTGCTTTGATTCATTCTTTCACCCAACAGTTATTTGAGTGCTCCTTGTGTATCAGCCACTGTTGCAGGAGCTTGTGAACAAAACAAAGATCTCTGCCCTTATAGATCTGACCCAGACAGTTACAGAACACAATTAAATTATTGGTATAGTGTGCTGGAAGGTTGCAAGTGCAATGAATCAAGAAAAAGTATAGCAGGTTAAGAGGGACGGGGATATGTGGCACTTTTCTTTTTATTACTTATTATTTAAATTGAGGTCACACTGGTTTATATTATTGTTTGTATTTTGGAAGTACAGGATCCTTCCCTTTTGGTGATGTTACCATAGTGCTCCCACCATCAAAGTAGGTGGCACTTTCAAAAAGGATGGTCACTGTGGTCACACTGAAGCAAAGGGTGAAGGGAGCTAGCCAAGATGACTGATCACATCTGAGGGAAAAACATTATGGCAGAAGAAGAGCCAGTGCAAAGACACGAAGGAAAGAATGCCAGTACACAGTTGGAAGTAGGTGGGAGAGAGAAGATGAGTTCAGAGAAGTAAGTTGGGTAACGGTGGGGAGGAAACTACATCCCAGATCATGGAGTCTTGCAGGCTATCATTGAGCCCTTGAGAAAGCAGTCACATTAAGCCAATGCCTGGCTTAAAAAGACACCTATATTAACTCCTTTTTCCTGTCTCCTATACTTGAACATTCATTCATGTGAATACAAATCACCTGGGCGCTTGTTAAAATTCAAATTCTGATTTACTAGGTCTGGGGTGGGCCCTAAATTTTGCACTGTTTGGCAAGCTTTTATATGATGCCAGACTGTTGGTCCATAACCACACACACTGAATAAAGACAATAAAGAGGTATTGAGCTCCCAGGAGCTTCTGGGCTTACCTCTCCATTAGCTGATCACAAGAGCCTTCTTGTTCCCTTCGAGCTAAAAGGACAAGAGCAAAAGTTTTTTTGTTCATACCTTTACATTGGTCCTAGCTTCCCCACTGGCCTATTTCATGACTCTCATCTGGCTAGTAACATTATGATCCAAGGCAACTCTGGAAACACCAAATTGGGTGTTAGGCTGTTTCTATGCAGGGTCTAAGAAGTTTCTAGAGCCTCCTCACTGCTATATGGAACCTCTGCTTCTGATCCCCAACGTGAGAAACTCTGCTCTTCTCCTTCAATGATAATTAAACCCTGTGATCACATTCGTGTCTTACCTTGGTTACAGAAACTCCGAATAGTGGCCTTCACTCATAGTCTTACCCCTAGTGACAGCCCAGCTCTGAGGCAGCCAGAGAACTAGGGTGATACTTCCAAGCAGAAAAGGTGCTATTCTGATGCCTGTTTAAAGGCAAGGCTGGCTTCCTGAAGAGTTAGCCTAGTACCTCTCAGCTGAGCCGGCCTGGCAGAACTAGCCACTGGACAGGCGGCGATTACCAGTTAGGCTACTGTTGGAATTGTGCGTCCATCACCTGTGTGATCTTAGAACTGTTTCCTGGCATCTCTGAGTCAGTTTCCTCATCTGTCAGATGAGAATTGAACAGCAGCTCCCGTCTACATGGAGATAACATCTAGTAACATCTAGAGCACTTAGTAAAGTGCCGGGTACACGATAAGTCACAAAATACCAGGTGCGAGTATTTTTCTAACTACGTCTGCATCCCTCCACGTACAAATCGCTGCGTCCCTGGCATGATGGCACCCACCTTTCCATTCCCTCAAGTTATGGTACCAGGACAAACCCCTCTGCAAAAACTTTCAAAGACTTGAGAGAGAGAGAGAGAGAGAGAGGACCACAGCAGTTCCATCAAGTGATGTCAAGAGGAAACTGAAGGAACCTCAGGTGCTCAGAGAGCGTGATGGGGGCGGGGCGGGGAGGCCGACGAGAGGGCCGGCCGCGCACTGACGTGTTCTACGCGCCCGCGAGGGCACCGCTGAGGGCAATGGACGGACATTAGGGGAAGCGGATTCCCGCGCGAGAGCGTGAGGGCGTCAGAGCGAAATGGAGGCCGGGGGGTCGCGCGGGAGCGGGGGAGGGGGGGGGGGGTTCTCCTGGTGCGCAGCTGCGGCGGCGGAGCCAATCACTGGGCGCAGCCCGTGCTCGCGCGAGGGTACAGTCGTGCGGGCGTGACGTCGGCGGTTGCCATGGAGAAGCCCACTCGGTCGCCACCGCGAGCGGGCGCCAGGAGCCGCAGGGTCGGAGCGTGGTTTTGAAGCCGCGTCTGCAGCCACCATGAGCGGCCGAAGTCGGGGTCGGAAGTCGTCCCGCGCCAAAAGCCGGGGCAAAGGCCGCGCCAAGGCCCGAGTCCGCCCCGCTCCTGACGACGCCCCGCGCGAGCCGGACCCTCCACAGTGCCAGAGGCTCGGGGAGGAAGCCCAGGCGGTACAGGTGCAGGCTGGCGCGGGTTGGGGTGGCCAGGAAACCTCTGCGCCCGCGCCGCCCCGCCGGCCCCCCGGGGAGGAGGGCGCCTGCCGGCTCCCGCTGGACTGTGGCCTCGCGCTCCGCGCCCGCGCTGTGGGGGACCGCGGGCAGGCCGCGACCAGACCCGGCCTGGGGAAGGTCCCGTCGCTCTCGGAGCGCCTGGCAACAGACACTGTCTTCGTGGGAACTGTGGGGACCGTGGGAAGGCCTAAAAATGTCCCCCGCGTGGGAAATCGGCGTGGCCCTGTGGGGAAGAAGGCCCCAGAAGCTTGTAGCGCGGTGGGGAGGGGCCCTCAGGCGATAGCTGGTGGGAAGCTGAAGAAAGGGACATCCGCGGAGTGTGCCTCCGGCCAAGCGGCAGAGGAAAAGAAAGTGGAGAAGGATGCAGGGTCAGCGCCCCTGGCCACAGATGGGAGCATGGATACGCTGGAGACCGTCCAGCTGAAGCTGGAGACCATGAACGCCCAAGCGGACAGGGCCTACCTTCGGCTCTCGCGCAAGTTTGGCCAGTTGCGACTGCACCACCTAGAGCGCAGAAACCTCCTCATCCAGAATATTCCAGGCTTCTGGGGGCAAGCTTTTCAAAACCACCCCCAGCTGGCGTCCTTTCTAAACAAACAAGATAAAGAGGTACTCAGCTACTTAAACAGCTTGGAGGTGGAAGAGCTTGGCCTCGCCAGATTAGGCTACAAAATCAAGTTCTACTTTGGGCGCAACCCCTATTTCCAAAATAAGGTGCTTATAAAGGAGTATGGGTGCGGCCCTTCCGGCCAGGTCGTGTCGCGCTCTACTCCAATCCAGTGGCTCCCAGGGCATGATCTCCAGTCCCTAAGCCAGGGGAACCCAGACAACAGCCGTAGCTTCTTTGGGTGGTTTTCAAACCACAGTTCCATTGAGTCTGACAAGATTGTGGAGATAATTAATGAGGAACTGTGGCCCAATCCTCTGCAATACTACCTTATGAGTGAAGGAGCCCGTGCAGAAAAAGGAAAGGAAAGCAGACAAGATCCAGCAAGGCAGCCAACGGAGACCCCTGAGCCCGGGGTAAATCAGTCCAACTGATGCTGCACAAGTTTCTCTTCTACCTCCTGCTGAGCCCCGTGCCTGGCTGACCACATGTGTTTGGCTGTCTGCCTTCTCTTCATGTTGGCCTCTGTGCACTCTATCCCCTTCGCCTTCAGTTACAAGAATATGGCATTTCTGATCATGTTCTTTTGCCTTCCCATGGCCTTTTGCTTTTTTTACATTAGCGCCACATGTTATGTGCTCTCACTCCCACTGTTCATATGTTAAGCACACATGCTTCAGATGTGTGTTGACTATCAGCGTTGCCTGGACTCTGTTTGTGGCTCTGGCCTTTCCTACTTGTCTTTAACATGAATGCTGGAGAGTCATTCTCCAAGAGGACCAATGCACCGTCAAGCTCTATTCAGGGCCGGTGCCTTGCCTGGACTTTGTGTTCCTGCTGGCCACGCATGCCATCTATTGCAAGCTTTTCTATCGACACTGCAAAATGAGGCCAGTGCACATGCCAAAACTGATTTTTCCATGGCTCTGGAGTCACCAGCTGAGATGGCACCTGTTGGAACTCTGTCTTTGACTAGGGGCCAATGCTACCCATGCTGCTGGACATGCAGGAGAATGACACTGGACTGCTTGGCATGAATGAGGTTAATGGTGAGAAGCAGAAACAATGCCATGTGTTTGATACCATCATGTGTCTCTGCCTGCCTCTGGGCCCTTCTGCTGGTTGGTGAATCTTCATTAAAGTCTGTACCAAGCCTCATCTCTATCAGGCCTTTGACTTTTGTCTAGTTGCTGTTGGATCCTCGTCAACGAGAGGCTTCCTTGTCAACAAGAACCTCAAGAACTGCCTGTGGACTAAGGTCCCCCACCAGTGCATGAGACACGCACCTATCTTTCCCAGCCTTCCAGGAACTCTTTGGCTAACAGGCTGATTGGCAGGCTGGTTTGTGTGGACGTGTGCTCATTGTCATCATGCTGTGACTCCAGGCGAGGGTGGGGACTGGACTCACATAGAATGTAGGTACCTTTGTCAACTCCCCCTATCTTTTCCTCCCTCCTGACCAGATTGCTGCGGTGGGGGTACAGGGGAAAGGTATTTCTGGTCTGTGACCTATGTTGACTTGACCTCACAACTCCATTTCTCCATACTTGCCCTTCCTTTTCTGTCTTCTTCCTAATCTTCTCTTCCTTCTTTTTTCCACCTATGCATTTCTTACTTTTTTTTTTTTTAACCACAGCTCAGAAAGAGAAAACAACTGAGAAACCAAGGTTTTCTCCATACAGCTAGTGAGACATCTGGGGACTGGCTACTCATACTACACACTAGAGGAAGCCAAAAGGCCAACTAGATCTGTAGCAGACCCTGGTCCCGACTCTTGGATTCACTCTATAATTTTGAAGTTGAAAAATCTTTTCATGGCTCTGCCCTGCATCGGTTAGAATTATAAACATCAGGCAGCAGTGCTGTGGACTAGTGTTTACTGCTGGTCCATCTTTTTTTTTTTTTTTTTTTTGTGCCACTTAAGACCTAGTTGCTTCCTGTAGTTTAGCATCTGGCCATCTGCATCCTCAGCCCTCAGCTTTTACACTCAGAAATCCTTTGCTCCCTTTGATTCTACCTGCAAATAACCATAACAGTAGCCATAGTTTCTGATATGGAGGACCCAGGGGTTTGGGCATGGGGATGGACAGAATCTATTTGGATTTCTAAGACTCATTTTCAGTATAAAAACTGAATATAACTGAACCGGGTCCTTCCCTGCCCAGGCTTGTCTTGTCTTCCCCCTAGGCCCAAGGATGGGGAAGTAGGACTTTATCTGTTATATATTCTACCCCCTCCTTGTTTCCTTGGGGAAAACCACATTCTAAGTTCCTCAAGGAATGGGGAGGTCTTAAACTTTTAGAGAGGGGGTGCTAGGCAGGAGGAGTTGGAACAAAAACGTATAGCAGGAATGAGTCTGGTGTGGAGTGGGCCTGGAAAAGCAAGTAAGGCTTTGAGAAGCCTCAGGGAGAATGCCTCTTTCTCAGTGATGGAGGGGACATGGAGGGACCTTCTCGGGGCTGGGGGTAGGAGAATTAAAAGGACTGTGGACAAATACAATACCTAGATAAAGGCACACCCAAAGTTTTATCTGATCTCTCTCATCACTGGTGGATTTTATAAGTAACAGAAACAGTCCAAAAACAGATTAATGTTACTTTGGATGTTTTCTCTTTTGTTCTAGGTGTGACCCTGTGTATGTGGAAGATTAATGCTGCTTATTTTGCTTCTTAGTAAAATCTTAACCACATTCCCCATTTTTGCCTAGTAGGAAAATAGAACTGTACAGGCCTGTTTTTTTTTTTTCCCTTTTTTCTGATTTTTTTTTTTTTGTGTGTGTGTGCATTTTAAATTTTTGCTCTTCATGATGGACATGTGCATTTCAAACATGTGCAGAAGTGGAGAAGATGGTGGTCCCCGTGTGCCTATCACCTAGCCACGTCAGTTATCAATTATGATCAAACTGGTTTCATCTGCATTTTACTCTCCTTGCCTGTGTTGTTTATGGAAAGTGCAAGACACTGTGCCAATTCAACCGTGACCACTTTGGGAGATTGGGACTCTTTAGTGGTGATAGTGGCAGGGTGCACTATCATCACGTCAGGTCTGCTTTTTGCTTTCAGTGTGAACTAATGAAGTTCCAGAGATGGGCATTAGAAATAAAAGTCTTCAGATTTAACAAGGTGAGGGGGATGTTCCCTTTCCCCTGCACCCACAAAAGGAGAGACTGTTCTGTTGTAAACTGTCAGAGACTGATATGATAAGGTGCTTACTTGAGACCGTTCACCAGGATGTCAGTCGTTCCTGTGTAAGATGGAGACTTACATGACTGTTAGAAGTGGTGTCAGCTTGTCCTGGTCTCATAATTCTGGTCTCAGAAGTATAATTTGGAAATTGTTGCTGTGTTCTGTAAAAATAACGTTGCAAAAATAATCAGTAACTGGTTGTCTTACTTGGTACTTTGACACCCTGATAATAATGCAATTATTTCTGTGTTCCTAAATCTTATAAATAGTTGTAAGCGTGTGTGCATAATGGAAAAATAAAAGCTTGTATCTCTGTTATATAGTTTATTAAAAAAAAAAATTGTAAGGTTCAGTAGAGGCTGGGTAATTGAAGGGATCTATCTATACATTGACCTCGATGAATGGTTCTTAAGTTCCAGTTCTTGTGTGGCTAGTTACATAAAAAGACATAAAATTCTGTTACCCAGACTCTTACCGGAGATTAAGATTCTGTGGTTCTGGGTGGAAACCAGGTAGTTTCATTTTTAGCAAGCTTTCTAGGTGATTAAGGAAGAAATGGAATGCTTCTCAAATTTTAGAGCACATCTGAATGATCTGGGAATCCTGTTAAAATATGAAGTCTGATTCAGTAGTCTGGAGGTGAAATCTGAGATTTTGCATTTGTAGCAAACTTCCACATGATGCTACTGTTGATGGTTCATGAACTCCACTTTGCGTAGCAAAGGAGGTAACCTCCAAGGCCCTTGCAAGCTAGAGTAACAGTGCTCAACCTTAGTTGCATATTATAATTATGTGGGAAATGTCAGGAAATACACTTCTGTGGCTCCACACAAGGCCGCTAAACGTGAATGGGGGCAAGGATGGGCCCAGGTGTGGGTATTCAATAAACTTCCCGGGTAATTCCATTGTCTAGCCAGAGTTCAGAGCTAGGGCCTCTGATGCTATTCATAACAGGTTCATAGCAAGGATCATTTTCCAGTAATGAAGAGAAACAGCAGACAACCAAATGCCACATAAAATTGATCAACAGAAAATAGTCAGAAAAAATTAAAAGTGCGCTAAATGACAAAACTGGCTTATATAATGAAAGCCTTGAATCAATAAATGTGTAATGTTCAGGGCATAGCAGGTGCTCAAATGTTGAATGAATTTAAGTGTATATTCAGATGCCTCTGGGCTAGGCTGGTAATTGAATTTGTGAAGTGGGCCAAATTTGTTTCTTAAGGACATATGTATTAGTCGGCTAGAGCTTCTATAGCAAAGCACCACAGACTGGGTAGCTTAAAGAACACAAATTTTATTTTCTTGGTTCTGGAGGCTGGGAATCTGACATCAAGGTGTTGGTAGGTTTAGTTTCCTCTGAAGGCCTGTCACCTTGCCTTACAGATGGCTATCTTTGTGTTTACACACACTCTGTATGTTTCCTCATCCTCTATAAGAACACCAGCCATGCTGACTGGAACCTTGACTTCCTTCCTCTCCCAGTGTCCCATCACCTGGTCTTCAGCCTGGGTGAGGTTTGATAATAAGACAAAATAGCTCCCATCATATGACACTCTGGTTTAAAAAGCATACCCACTTACATGATCTCAGTTATAGTAACTATCCCATAATAAGGTTCAAAGACATTAAATGAGCAAAATCACAAAAACCAGTTTCTGGGCTTTTCACTCATGATTTCTACCCATCTGCATTGAAAGGCAGACATGAAGGAGGGGGAAGGGATCTTCTCCCATGTCTGTCTTTATCAGGACAGACAATCTTTGCCAGTAGACCCTCATGGATTTCAGGAGACTTGAGTCAAATTCCCTGAGCCAGAAATAGGTCACATTCCCACTTTTCATAATTCCTCATGGGACTGGGATTCTGCCATTAAGCAATAGGAGAGGTGGTGAGGCTGGAACTGATGGGAAATTTTTGTCACTGGTAGTATGATGTGCCTGCACCCGTGATATGAATGCCACATTTACTCAGAGGCACCCCGCAGGTGCACATCCTCCCAGCTTGCTGGTCACCTCTTCTGACATGGACGCTCTGTGCTTGATGTTTAGTGCCTCCTCTAACACACACTAAAGCATTTCTGGCTAGGTAATGGCTTTTAGGCTTTAGTGTCTCCCACAGCACCCAGATGAGGGTTCTCTCAATATTTGTCACAGGCAGTCAATAAATGCTAGTGGAGTGAATGTGATAGATCAATAATCTTCCTAAAATGTAAATTTGATTATGTCAGTCACCCATTCAAAACCTTTAGGATATACCATGGAATATTACTCAGCATTCAAAAAAGATAAACACATGCAATTTGCAGCAACATGGATGGCGCTGGAAGGGATCATGCTCAGCGAAATAAGCCAAAAAGAAAAAGAAAAATACCGGATGGTCTCACTCATAGCAGGAATCTAGAAAACTTAAATAAGGGACCAGGAAAATGAATAACTATAAGAAAGTGAAAATCAAAATCAACAAAAAACTATGAACCAGAGACACTTTTAGGGGGGTGGGGGCGGGAGGGGAGGGATTGGGGTCAGAATGGGGGGGCTGCAATTGTATGGGGAATACAACAATAAAATTTATTATTAAAAAAAAAAATAAAAATAAAACTAAAAAAAAAAATAAAATAAAATAAAATTAAAAAAAAAAAAACAAAAAAAAAAAAAACCTTTAGGAGTAAAAAGTCCAAAATCCTAAGAAACTCATAATAGGTCATTTGTTACCTGCCCTTACATTGTTCTTTCAAGCTTTTTATTATGAAAAATTTCAAATACACTGAAAAACTGACAGTGATAACTTTTTGGCATTTTTCCACATATATTTTGCCAAATTATTTGAAAATAAGTTGCTTGTCACTTCACCCCTAAACATTCAATATGCAGCTCATAAAAAAATAGTATTTCCCACTGTTTTACAAGACCATCGACAGATTGCAGATATGCATTTCCCAAATACCATCTAGTACCCCATCCATATTTAGTTTTCTCCATTGTTCCCAAGATTGTCTTGTGTATTAGTCTTAAAAATAAGATCAAATAATGTTCAGGCCTTGCATTTGTTTGTAATGTCCCTTTATTCTATTTACACTACAAGCAATTCTTGTTTCCCCCCCATCATAGTGACTTTCTGAAGATGTTAGGCCAGTCATCTTTAGAATGTCCCACATGGTGGATTTGTCTGGCTGCTACTTTTTGGTGCTGTTTTTCTCTGTCACCTGCATTTCTTGAAAACAGAAGATTTGGGCAAAAACTCCTGTGGTGAGAACACTACATAGGCAAGGCTGTGCTCTTTCTGTGATGCTTCACAAGGCCCATTGGCAGATTCTGTGCTCTAACAGGCTGGGAGTTTGGTTTCTTCATCAAGATGGTGATTATTCCTTTCCCTTTCCATTTAGCAGGTAATATCTGGGGTGGTACTTTTTCACTATGGAACATCATGTTTCACTTTTGGAAACATCATGTTTCCAAAAACTTTTCATCACAAAGTTTTAGCAGCCTTGGTTAACGTATGCCCAAATCAGTTATTTCACTGTGGGTTACAAAATATTGTCATTCCTTTTGCACATTTCACCTGTATTTTGTAAGGAAGACCTTGCCCTTGCACCTGGTGATTATACTTCCTTGTAAAATGGCAGAATCGATGCTTAACTCATTTTTTTTTTACTAATTTTGAGAATCAGAAGTTAGTAAAATTATCATTTACAGCGATTACAAGGTCAGACTTTTTTTTCTTTTCTGTTTACTGTCATTATAAATTTGTGTTTATCTATTTAATGTCTTTTAATCATTCAATCATCTTTCTTTTGACTGCTCATTGACCTAGATTTTTATCAGTCTGACTTTGGTCAGACCCCTCCTGTTCTTGACCCTGATTTTCTCCCTTCTCCCCTGTGTGCCATGTTACAGAAGGTGTGAGCCATTTCTGGCTCTCTGGACACCTGCTGTGCTTCTTCATACTCTGCACACTTGCACAAGCTATTCGCTCAGTGAGAAAGTATTGACACTCTCAGGCGCTCCATTGCAGCTCAGATATTCATTTTCTCTACTTTTAATCTTTAAGGCTGAATTAGCTCCCCTCCCCCATCCCTTTATTTTCACGACATGTTGTCTCACTTAAATCTACAGAACCTAAAATAGTGACTTGTTCTCGTCTGCTCCCACCATACACTGAGATCCCAGAGGCCAAGAAATAATAACAAGCAGTGAGTCTTACTCATTTTTGTGTTTCCATAACTCCTGGGCTTATACATAGTAGGTGCTCATTAAGTACTAAACAAGTGAGCAAGTGAATGGTCCCTAAAGCTTCATGAAGACATTAGGTGACAAACTGCAGAGAGGTTAAAAGTGCCCAGGAGCACTGATTGGGAATAATTTCAAAGGAAGCATGAACTTAATACAAATGGATTAAAGGGTGTGTGTGTGGGGGGGAAGCTTTTACCTGCACAAAGCCTCAGGCAAAAAACTTAGCAACAAATTACTCTCACAGCATGTTGGAAATCAAGTAGGAAAATGGAAGTGAGCAGGAAAGTAAATGACAAATGGAGGAAATGTGCTATGTACGCTGTGCTTTAGTAACGTTCCTCAGCTTATGAACCTATAATTGAAAACAAGAAAAAGCGAAATTGATGTGATTGTGGCCACTGACTTTGCTAGGGATCTCTCTCCTTATATATGGATATGCATATGTAGCCTGAGAGATCCTAAGAGGTCCCTTGAATTTCAACGACTTGAAAAATCAGGTTAGAACAAAAGCTGTTTTTCAAAGAGCAGTGACACTGATGAACGACGATATTGAACCTGCAGAATAGAACACAATGAAAGGATCTGGGCAAAAATATCTTGAACTTCAACATAAAATAGCCAAAATTCCAGTAATGGTCGGGAAATATGGTCATCAAAGCCCAATGACTCTTTGTCTAGTGCTGTGGCACCAGATAGTTTATGAGAAAATCCAGAAGACTTAGAGGCAGAGAAGGGTGCTTGAAACCCCAGTGCCATCCTGGAGAAGGTCAGAGAACAAACTGTCTCTCAGGAAGTGAGGTTGTAGAGTATTGGCATGTTCTCAGGAGAGCACGCTATCTTCAGTTTGAGTGACCCACCTATGGCTTGGGGAACATTTATGTTAGGGATACCGAGCTCCTATACACTTATATGTCATTCTCTTGGCAAGCGGCCTTATTTGACACCCCCACTGCTTATTCTATATTCCCATTCATGGCTCCCTCTTTGCCTTCACAGGACTTCTTCAGATTTATGATGGTAGTTTTGTCTTTCTTTGTTCCTCTCAGGGATCTTTGTTCACTGTTGAATCCCAAATGCACACAGGAAGGAGGTATCCGTCAAATATTTTGGATTGCTGGAGGTGTTAGTCTTATGAGCTATGACCTATTACCAGAAAGGGTGGATGGGCCGTGCCTTGGAGTTGTCCTGTGGCAGGAGATGCTGCTGTAGCTTCCCAGATGTCAAGTGGGACTCGTAGAGTCCATTTGTTGAGCTCATACCACATGCTAAAAACAGTGCTAAGCACATTCAAACACATTATCGCAACAATGATATTATCCTCATTTTCCAGATGAGATAAAGGAGCCCAGAGAGAGTTCAGGTAACTTCACTGTGACATAAGTGGTGATTCCTGTAGCTGGGGGGAGACCCCCTGCACTCTTCAGTCCTGCCTTTCAGACTGGGCTTTGCAGTGTGAATTAGGCTAATATTCATGGTCTGTTGCCTCCAGAAGGGAGGGAAAAGGGTGTGAGGCTGAAAATAGGTCTCTAGTTCTCCAGAAGGTAACAATCACTGCACCGCTCATGGGGGAAGTTTTGTGTGTGTGTATGTGTATGTGCATGCGTGTTCATGAGAGCACATATCTGAGTGTGTGTCCAGGGAACACATGAGAGTGGCCAGCGAATCAGTTTTCGAACATGGGATATAGACTACCTGCCGCTTGCCCACAAGCCCTCCATGCTCTGAGGTTGCCAGGGCATGCATGCTCACTCAAGATCATGGTCCACGGAGCAGTTCAATCCACATTTGAAAGGCTCCCTGCCATGGGTAGCTTGTGGGGAATAGAGATCCTCTTGGCTTGAAGCAGCTCAGAAGAAGGGGCCTCTGAACAGAAGCCTTCAGCAGATGGTTTGAGAGGGAGGCTTAGTCGCAAACAGCACCAGGCTCAACAGAAGACTGTCACAGCTACTAAATGAGGGGATTTGTTTGTGTAGGCAGCAGAGATAAGCCTGCTGGTCGTCATTGTTCTTTGAGCCTCAGCCTCCCACACAGTCAACCATCACTATCACCGGACTAAGAAGGATGGTGAAAAATCATTGTTTCTTGACACTGCCATAGGATGTGCTTCCCTAGTCACAAAAAATACATTCAACCTCCTACTCCACACATCATCCTGGGGGGAAGTAAGCAAAACAGTTAACCTTTATTAGCACCTACTGCCTGCCAGGGTAAGTGACATATATGCAGTCATTTTTTAAATTTTTATAGTAACAGGCTTGGGTAGTCGCCATTGTTATACACACATTACAGTTAATGATACTGGAATTCTGCAAGACACTTGCTGAGGGTTACTCAGCTAGGATTCTGATAGGTGGGAGTATCTTTGGTTCTCAGACTTATGCTCCTGGTTTCAAAGAGAGATGAGAATGCTTTCAGTTGCAAGTAACAGAGACCCACATAAATGAATTCCAAGATTAAGGGCAGTTACTGTTTCCATGATTAGGAATCTGGAAGCAAGGGATCCCATGATTGTCTTGGCTCCTCAGACTGGTTTTTTTTTTTTTTTTTTTTTTACCAAGTCCTCAGACTCTTTCCATTTGTATAATTCTTCTTTCCCAGCAAATTGGCATAGGTTCAGCAAGTGCTTTTTATTCTCACACTTGTCTCATTATGTCAAGATGGCTGCTTCCGGGTGTCATATCCTCAGATACAATGCCCAAAGTATGAAATTAGTGAACCGGGTCTTTCCTCTGTAATCCTCTCTCTTTTAACAAGGATGAAAATATTTTCTGAAATCCATAGTGGACTTTTTTTTAACCTCTCATTCATCTCCATATATACATATGTATTTCATTTCTGATTGTCATCCTATCTGTCTCTGTCTCTCTCTCCATCCTTTCAATCTATACTATCATTTCTATATCCCCCTCTTAGACCAGTTCCTGGCAAAGGGAACCTATACTGCCATGTCTGGTTTTGACCAGCCAGGACTAGCATGATAAGTTCCCCAGGACTGAGTAGAAGGCAGCATGGCTG